CACCGAAGTTAAGCAACGTCGGGCCCGGTCAGTACTTGGGAGGGTGACCACCTGGGAACACCGGGTGCTGTAGGCTTCTTCTTTTTTTTTTTGCACATTTAAAAAAAAATATAAAGCTCTTCAAAATATACCATAATTTTTGTTTTAAATTATTTTTAATATTAAATTTTCTAAAAAGCATCCTACAAAGAAACCAATATTAAAACCTTTAAAGCAGAGCGCCATCTAGTGGAACAGAAATCAACTAAACGTTGATTTAGCCTGTTCCCTGATATTTGGCCTACCCAATTTTTTGATAAATCAAGAAAAGTCATCCTCGATCGCGTTTCGGGCTGTTGGCCCTCGTCCGTGTGGAGCAGGCCTTTCATAAGTAACGTTTCTCACATAAGGATTTCTCTATCATTTGAAATATTTCTACAACATAAATCTGCAGGAGGATAAAATACATGTACCTAGAGGAGCACCTCTCCCTTTAATTATGTATCACAACGATGTATATATTGTGAAAAAATAGTACAAATGTAATATTGTACTGAGATAAGGTGCATAAATTAAGAAAAAGGCTTCTTCTTATCGAGCAACTGAAAGTTGCTGATGGCTTGCGCCATCTATCGGAATAAATATCAACTATTCTCGTTGATTTTTAATTATTCCAGAATTGGCCAAATACCCATTCTTGATTAATCAAGAATGTGGTTAGCTTTTCTTGATTAATCAAGAATGGGTATTTGGCCAATTCTGGAATAATTAAAAATCAACGAGAATAGTTGATATTTATTCCGATAGATGGCGCAAGCCATCAGCAACTTTCAGTTGCTCGATAAGAAGAAGCCTTTTTCTTAATTTATGCACCTTATCTCAGTACAATATTACATTTGTACTATTTTTTCACATTGTGTAGCGTTCTCACGCAATTCTGGCCTTAACTACCCGTTTCATGATTTTTCAGGATGCCTTAATGACCAATTTTTTTGGTCGTTGAGGTACAGCTTGCACCACGCTGATGAGGGCCAACAGCCCGAAACGCGTCCGTGGTTAGCTTTTCTTGATTAATCAAGAATGGGTATTTGGCCAATTCTGGAATAATTAAAAATCAACGAGAATAGTTGATATTTATTCCGATAGATGGCGCAAGCCATCAGCAACTTTCAGTTGCTCGATAAGAAGAAGCCTTTTTCTTGATGTATATATTGTTACACCAATTTTAATGCGCCTCACATTTATTCAAAATATTCTATGATATTTAATATTTATTTAAAACAGAATATTTAGATTATCATCATTCCTTTTGTAATATTTATTGTACATATATCTTGATTGGTTATTGGAGGGAGAGAGGACCTAGAAGAAGACTGTGGATCACGACCTACGAGAAAGACCACGAATAAATGAACACATTAAAGTTGAAAGGTAATTTATTTTTATTTACTTTTATTTATTTATTTGCTTTGAATATGGAAACCCGCTCGGGAAACGTGTATAACACCAAGAAGGAAGAAAGGTCGACGACCCTGCAAAGCTGCAACTTGGTGCAACAATATATAGGTACATGAATACCATCTTCCCGTAACTTTATGTTGTATTCTTGTCTGAAAATCTGCCCATAGCACTTCACTAGTTTAAACACCTGTTTGGTAAATTGGACCTATTTCATAACCACTCTTGTAAGATATTATGGAATCAAAGCCGCCCCTGTACTGATGAGGGCCATAGCCCGATATTATGGTATACAGGTTGTTGTCTGAATTTACCAAAACTGATGTTATGGCTCATTCTATATCACCACTAGTAAAGTGTTTCACCAGGGTGACGAACATTATTGCATCGTTCTGATGTTTATAATTAAAGGGAGAGGTGCCCTTCTCTAGGTGTATACAGTAGAACAACCTCCATGAGAGGACACCCCGCTAGAGGACATCTCTCTACAAAGGACAGTTTTCATTTATACAAAATTACCATTTTTTACTATTTAGCAGTGTTGGACAAATATTAATTAAAATGATTTATTAAAGATTAACAATTGATTAATTGTTAATTGTAATTTTCACAATTAACAATTAATCAATTGTTAATTGTATTTTTACAATTAACAATTAATTAATTTTTAATTGCACTTTTCTAATTAACAATTAATTAATTTAAAAAGCGCGAATGTTTCTTTTATACATAAAACGAACTTCTACTGTCCTTACTGCGATGAAAAAATATATTGGGAGGGCTTGGCTCATCAGTGGTGAACCCTCCCAGCGGTTTCGCCAATTTAATCCACCAGACCGCTTCTCAGAGCTCTAATACTGTATTGGATCATTCTGCTTTTATATGCTACACTGAAGGATGGAATCTTAGGAATGGTTTTCAAGTAAACTATGGACATAAGCTTATAGGACAGTAGAATTACATTCAAATATTTGCTTCGAGCAATGCTCTTCAGCAAACTATAAAGACAAGGCCAGTTAGGAATAAATTAACACAAAGCAATAACGCGCCATCTATACATATAAAATAAAAGGATCTAAAAAGCGCGAATGTTTCTTTTATACATAAAACGAACTTCTAGCTGAACATCGTTTGGGAATAGTCTTTTTTTATTATCCCATTGTATAATTATACTAGCGGACGTGCCCGGCTTCGCCCGAGGTTTTACCCGAGTAAAGGTTTGTCTAACGAACATTTGTTAAAACAATTCTCTATAAACTTATAAAAAAAAAGAGATATATTTTGATAATTTGAAACTCGTAAATGTGAATCTCTCGATAAAGTGAACATTTTTTTCCCGGTCCCTGTGTGACGTGTCATCCTGAATTTTGTCTTTCATAATTTTCTACATTACAAAATCATCGTTTTATCTAGTGAACATATTTTCCCGGTCCCTTGAAAGATACTCGATAAGTTGAATAAAGTCATGGTCGTGAATCTCTAGATAAAGTGATTATTTTTTCCCGGTCCCTGTGTGCCGTGTCATCCTGAATTTTGTCTTTCCTAATTTTCTACATTACAAAATCATCGTTTTATCTAGTGAACATATTTTCCCGGTCCCGGACGTAGTTCCCGGAGGTCACCCGCCCCCCGCGCGCCAGGACCTCTTGATCACTCTGATTGGCCGGCGGCCGGACGGGGGGGGGGGGGGGGGGGGGCTCTTGATCCTTCTGATTGGTCGGTGGGAACTTCGACTGCTGTCCAACCAACTGGCCGGCGGCCGGACGGGGGGGGAGGGGGGGAGGGGCAGATCTCCGTTGCAAGATGGCGTTGCTTGCGAGTTAAAGCTACAAATCTGCAAATAACTCTAAGGATATTCAAGATATTCAAGAAATTATTTTTCGTAAACCTTTCCGGGGATACGCCTAATAATATCCCAAAATTTCACGGCGATTGGATGTATGGTTTTTGAATCCATAGAGGACACACACACAGACACACACACAGACATTCAATTTTATATATATAGATGAGAGAGGCAATCTTACAGGTTGTCGACGCTGTAAAATCCCCAGAGAGAGTGTTTTTGTAGCATCATGCTGTGACTCACACGATGACCCAAGGTCATCAGAAGCAGCAAACTAAGCCTATCTCCGTCTCAATGGCGGCGCTGCTTGCGAGTTAAATATACAAATCTGCAAATAACTCTAAGGATATTCAAGATATTCAAGAAATTATTTTTCGTAAACCTTTCCGGGGATACACCTAATAATATCCCAAAATTTCACGGCGATTGGATGTATGGTTTTTGAATCCATAGAGGACACACACACACACAGACAGACAGACAGACATTCAATTTTATATATATAGACTAGCGGACGTACCCGGCTTCGCCCGAGGTTTTACCCGAGTAAAGGTTTGTCTAACGAACATTTGTTAAAACAATTCTCTATAAACTTGAAAAAAAAAAAAGATATATTTTGATAATTTGAAACTCGTAAATTTGAATCTCTCGATAAAGTGAACATTTTTTCCCGGTCCCTGTGTGCCGTGTCATCCTGAATTTTGTCTTTCATAAATTTCTACATTACAAAATCATCGTTTTATCTAGTGAACATATTTTCCCGGTCCCTTGAAAAATACTCGATAAGTTGAATAAAATCATGGTCGTGAACCTCTCGATAAAGTGATTATTTTTTCCCGGTCCCTGTGTGCCGTGTCATCCTGAATTTTGTCTTTCCTAATTTTCTACATTACAAAATCATCGTTTTATCTAGTGAACATTTTTTCCCGGTCCCTTGAAAAATACTCGATAAGGTTGAATAAATTCATGGTCGTTTATGGAAGATGGACGAAGTTCCCGGAGGTCATCTTGGGCAAGCTCCCGCGAGGCTTTTTTTCTTGTCTACTTGGCATAGCTGTGTCACCAATTCTGCCCTGATTGGTCGGTGGGTACTTTGACTGTCGGCCGGCGGCCGGGCGAATCCATTCTCGCACGGGGTCTGCCCCACTCCAAACTTTTGGCAAAGCACTTTCTAATTAAAGATTATTGTCTTAAATAATCTTTAAGAACAAAAAGTATAATAATTGAACGATAGGAAATTATAGTAAATAATTATACTAAACTAAATGATGTAAAAATAATTATACATGAAATTTGAAATAAGTTTTAGAAAAGTTATCGTTAAGTCCACGGGAAAAGATGTAGCCAAAACAAATAGGTTTTTAACAGTGACACGTGAGCACCCGCCTCGAGACGCGCTCCTCTCTCCTAACATTACTCCCCCTCTTGAAAAAGCCTATCTCCGTCTCAATGGTGGCGCTGCTTGCGAGTTAAAGCTACAAATCTGCAAATAACTCTAAGGATATTAAAGATATTCAAGATATTATTTTTCGTAAACCTTTCCGGAGATACACCTAATAATATCCCAAAATTTCACGGCGATTGGATGTATGGTTTTCGAATCCATAGAGGACACACACACAGACAGACAGACACACAGACATTCAATTTTATATATATATAGATTTATTAAAGTTAGTTTAAGATAAAAGCGACATTTGAGCATCTTCCAATGCCTACGGCCATACCACGTTGAAAACATCGGTTCTCGTCCGATCACCGAAGTTAAGCAACGTCGGGCCAGGTCAGTACTGGTAACCCAGGGTGACCACCTGGGAACACCGGTTCAAAATAGACCATAATTTTTTTTTTTTTTTTTTTTATGATTTTTAATATTAAATTTTCCAAAAAGGATCCATTTCGAGGTTCCATATTCGGGCCGTAATTATCTATTAAATAAATTCAACATTTCATTTTCAACTATTTTTCACGCGTATTGTGTCATTTCGAAAAGAATCACAATCGTCAAAAATAATTAAAATTTCTTTTATATATATACAGTTAAACCTGTCTATAGCACCCCCTCTTGGGACTCACCAAAATAGGGTGCTATAGAGAGGGGGTGCTATAGACATGTCACTTTTAATGTAAATCGCATTGTACTACGTATTTAAAATCGGGCGCTATAGAGAGGGAGGCGCTATTTAGAGGGGGTGTGAATATATAATTGCTATATAAATATCATAGATATAATTTAAATAAGGCATCTCCTTATCGTGCAATTGAAAGTTGCTGATGGCTTACGCCATCTATCGGAATAAATATCAACTATTCTCGTTGATTTTTAATTATTCCAGATTTGGCCAAATACTCATTCTTGATTAATCAAGAAAAGCTAACCACGGACGCGTTTCGGGCTGTTGGCCCTCATCAGCGTGGTGTAAGCTGTACCTCAACGACCAAAAAATGAGGCCCAACAGCCCGAAACGCGTCCCTGGTTAGCTTTTCTTGATTAATCAAGAATGGGTATTTGACCAATTCTGGAATAATTAAAATCAACGAGAATAGTTGATATTTATTCCGATAGATGGCGTAAGCCATCAGCAACTTCCAGTTGAACTATAAGGAGATGCCTTATTTAAATTATATCTATGATATTTATATAGCAATTATATATTCACACCCAGAAATTCTTTATATATATACTAGACGGGTGACCTTGTTTGTTATTAGCATTATCTATTTGTTTGCATCAGCATAATTTAATCTAATCTTTGATAGAGGGCGCTGTTCGTGAGCTAAGTAGAATAATTTGAATATATAGTTTTAATAATTGATTTATATATATTTTAAAATAGCCTATCGTCTTCCCCGTATTTTTCTACCTATGTATGGAAATTTTGGTTTGAATTAGTGAACTATTGCGAATTAGTATACCGGACATACAAACCAACAAACATACAAACATTCATTTTTATATATATAGAAGATATATATATATAATTAACATAACTGATATCCTTAACAAAATGATGAAAAATGTACTCAAAGAGAGATACTTTATAAGGGTTATAAAATGTTTCTTTATTATAGGCATAGCTAGCTAACCCTAACAATGAAGGGCGTGGAAGTTTAAAAAGTGCAATGGAACCGGTGGGGGTTCTTTATTGAGTGAAATTGGCAAGCCGTTTCTATCCACTTCCTAATTTATAGGCCTAAAATTTATGTTCCACTAATTTGTGTAGAAAAGAAGAAATTTACTAGCCTCGTGACCTTGTATGAAATTTGAGTTAAGCCTTGAAAAAAATATTTATTGCGTTTTTTGACCCGTAATAAAATGTTATTAAAATTCTTGTTTTCTTTTTTTTTTGCTCGCTGTTTATTGTTAATATAGCCTTTTTTTATTATGTTTTATTTGAAGTGTTTCATTACAATGAATATTTACTTTTTTTGTAATATATTTAAAAATGTGAAAAAATAGTACAAATATGAAATTGTACTGGGATAAGGTTCATAAATTAAGAAAAAGGCTTCTCCTTATCGGGTAACTGAAAAGAGAGAATTTGGCGTTACGGGATACTAAACAAAGTTAATGATTTTCGAGCCGTTTATATTGTGGCGAAGAAATATTTATTTAATTTAATATTATTCAATGAAAATTTCCAACAGATTATAAAAATATATATTACTCTGTATTTGTGAAATCATCTTTAAAATATTTCTTTGCTTGTTTGTTAAGATTTCCTAGCTGCAGATAGTTTTGGGCTGACCTGTTAATAATAGTTGACTCGTCGCTGTGACGTCATCAATAAATACTTTTACCTCTTAAGATATTTCAAGGCTTGATTTCTACGTTACAATATTTACGGTACAACAACATCGGCCCAAAATTTGGACGGGTTGCGCTTACATCGCCTCCTCAAGTCCATAAAAAAAAAATTATATTTAGGGAAAAGAGAGAAAGATTGAGATTGAAACTGATTTATTACAATGTTCATATAATATTATATAAGGTTAAATACAGAATAAATAGATATATGTATAATATTCTTACAACATAAACCTTAGATTATTAAAACATTGGATCAGTAAACATGAGGGCAACCACTTCGTTCAATTACATTACTTTATTTTTCATATAACATTTTTGTAAACAAAAAAAGGTGATGATGATAAATTCAATGAATATTTACACAATCATGGAAAAATTATATTAAACCTTTATATAAACATAAATATTCTAACTAAAATAAAAAAATATAAATATATAAAATAATTGATAAATGGACATATATAAATATATGCAAGGTCTTCATTTGTGGCACCCACCGCGGGAAAGACTCCGTCACCGGTGGACTGCGAGAAAGAGAGAGAAAATATGGTTTTACGGGATACTAACCAAAGTGTATGATTTTTGAGCTCAAAAAATGATATAGCAATCAGACAAGCCGCAATGTACTATATCAAAGTACCAAGGTGCTGCACGCAACTAAGGTTGTTCAAAAAGGTTAGATTCCCCAGGCCAGGGAAGATAAGAGAAAGACAGGTATTGATTAGATAAGAAGATTAGTTAAAGCGGGAATGATTCAACAAGTGCTGGGAAAAGATAAAGTTTCAATTTTATATATTTAGGGGGAGAGAGACAGAATATGGTTTTACAGGGGCTACTAACTAAAGTGTGTGATTTTTGAACCCATCAATTATATTTAGGATACAACAATGAGATTATTAAGGGAAAGCCGCGGTCAACTTTACAGAGTTGTTTTGTTTTAGATAAAATATAATTTGAAATAAAATATTTGAATATAACATATATAGATATATCTTTTGTTAACTCACAGGTTCCAGGAGAGTACAAATGTCTTCAACTAACCAAGTTGTCCTTCAGAGAGAGAGAGAGATATTGAGATTGAAACTTCTTTACTACAATGTCCATATATGGTTATATAAGGTTAAATACAAAATAAATAAATAATATTAAATATGTATACAAAATTGATAAATATACATATATATATAGAATATATATAAGGTCTTCATTGGTGGCGCCCACCACGGGAGAGACTCCGCCACCGATGAACTGCGAGAGTTCTTTCCCACAGAGTTTGCAGGTCAATGTGATGGCTGACGTTACCCACCTCAAGATCAAGATGGTACTTGTAGATGGTAGCTTTCGCCATACCGTCAGTTGCATATTTCGGGATGGAGGCCAACCCGAACACAGAGAGAGAGAGATTGAGATTGAAATTATATATAAGAGAGAGAGAGAGAGAGAGAGAGAGAGAACGCTTCACGATTTTGCGTGTCATCCTTGCGCAGGGGCCATGCTAATCTTCTCTGTATCGTTCCAATTTTAGTATATGTACCGCCGAGATTTTGAGATTGAAACTGATTTATTACATATAAAATTATATATGGTTGAGAGAAGGACTTTTCAAGCCTGCGCCGACCGAGAGAGAGAGAGAGAGATTGATATTCAAACTGATTTATTACAATGTCTATATATGATATTATAAGGTTAAATACATAATAAATATAAATATGAATAGAGAGAGAGAGAGAGACCCACGTCTTTTTGGTTTCCTTTACAATGACAAAGTCCAGGTTATTAGCTGACACTAAGCGTATTTATGTTTCGGAAGTTTTTTCAGCAATAACAGATTAGCTAAAGAATTCCTAGCAGGATTTACATACTTTTATTTTCATTTGCATAAAGAATAGAACCTTCATATAATGATTAGTTAAAAAATAAAAGCTATAATCATAGAATTTATATGCACTATAGGTAAAAAAAATAAATCTAAATGACAAGCAAGTGGAGATGTTCTAAAAAAAATTATATTCCTATTATAAAAGAAAATTACTTTCACCAGAGTAATTTTAAAAATGAATAATTGCCCTTCATCTAATTTTCTGCGTCTGATATATTTTTAAAAGCCTGGCCCCACTAAATATCTAATTCCTTATTTTTAATGTCTAAAAAAGCCTTCACATTATTTTGACTAAATTATTATGAATTACGTTATTTAATTACATATTTACCATAATTATTTTATATATTAAACTTTTGAAGCAACACTTTTAATGACCAAAACATCAAAAATATAATTGAATATAATTTGATAATAAAAAAGACATAAAATAATCGTAATTTATCCTAAAATAAAGTTGTAATATTTTGTGTTAATTGTAGAAAAAAATTATTTTATGAATTAAAATGGTTATAAAAAGTTAAATGGAAAGATTTAAGGGTGAAAAAAAAATCGAAAGGGCAGTATTTAACCACAAAAAATGTTTTGAAATTTTAAAATATCACCATTTTACATTTAAAAAATGTAGTTTAAAAAAACTTTAAAATATCGGTATTAAACTTTAAAATGTTGTATTAAAAAGCCTAAAATATTTATATATGTATATAAAATATACTTGCAAAAAATATTGTTATTTTTTAAAAATAAAATAATAATAAAATTAAAAAGCACATAACTGCATCAAAAATCATTATGCATTCATTTTTAAAATAATTATAATATATTATTTGTGTGTGTGTGAATAAAATGCATTTATGAAATGAATAAAAATTATAAGAAATTTCGTTAAAAATCTATTTTGTTGTTATTTGACTTAAAATATTGTTATTTGCAATCCCTCCAAAAGTCAAGCACGATACAAAAAAAAAAAAAAGAGAGAGATTGTAATATTTTAAAATCATAGTTTAGTCATAAAGAGCATGATTTAGAAACAGAATTGATTGGAATGCTTTATTGGATGGCATATTGTTGAAATTGGTAAACAAATCAATTTATAATAATCTGTGATGTAAAATATGTTCCTTTTTGACTAAGTTTGTTTTTGTTT